TTTTTGTGGGTGTGTCTTTTTGTATGTTTTCTGATTTATGTATTGTTGCATGTATTGTCTTTGTCTTCTGAATAGACCAAGAGTCTGTAAATAAAGGTTGATGATGATGATGATGATGATGATGAATGCATCAAAACACACTCCTGCTCTTATTTGTAAATAATTCATCGATGCACGATATTCATATGAATATAATGATCCCAATTCAATGCAACATTAAAACTAAGAGTATAAAAACAAAATCTAATTCAAAATATGAAATAAAAACTATAATAACTCTGGTCGGAGCGTATATATATATAACTGTGTGCACTTTCTGTCTCCATTTACATCTACAGCCTCTACCTTTATTGCTATCGTATCTCTTAATCTAATAGTGGCAGTCATTTTGCATTGTTGATAATTATTCATAATTTATGAAAACACTTTAAAACGAAGCGTTTCAGTCAACTAATGGCATTGTTCTCGCTGCATCTGAACTGTTAAACGCCGATGCAGATTTGAAGAGCTCATTGAATAATCGCAGCATGAGGAATGAATCTCTTCAATAAACAAATGGTTCAATTTCAAGTTGCCTTTTCAGTGCAATAAAAGGATAATTAGGGACGGAACTGTCAAAAGAACAATTAGCATGTTAATGGATGTGCAAATTGCGTTCATGTCTCACACTGCATGCAGGGATGTTGAGTACGCTGATCTGATCTGCGCTGGCTGATCCATCACTGTCTGCTGGAGGAAACACACACTCGTCTGCTGGAGGAAACACACACTCGTCTGCTGCCGGGGGGTAGAAACTACAATTAGCAACTGGGCAGATCTGAGTTCAGCTCTGGACGCTCTGATCAGGAGAATATAAAGCATCATGTGACAGAAACGATGATCTGAAACATTCAAACCTTCAGGAGATTCATGAAGACTCAAACGTGCAGGAGGCACTAACCTGAGCTGTGGGAAACACACACACACACACACACACACATACAAGGTTTTTGATGAAAACATTCCAGGATTTTCTCCATATAATGGACTTCAATGGGGTCCAAACGGTTCAAGGTCCAAATGAGAGTCTTCAAAGGGCTTTAAACGACTCCAGACGATGAATAAGAGTCTTATCAAGCGAAACGATCACTCATTTAAAAAATAAATAACAAAGTTTAAGTTTTATAAGCTCAAATGCTCGCCTTGCTCTGTTCTGTGATGCGCCTTCATGACTCTCCTGTTCATCAAAATGAACAAACCTTTTTTCGTGTCATTTGGTTCATTCAACAAATGGAATGAACGAGTTGACTCAGGAAAAGATTCGTTCATTTTGATGACCGAGTTCGAAAAGGAGAGTCACGAACGCGCATCACAGAACAGAGCAAGGCGAGCATTTGAGCTTATAAAACTTAAACTTTGTTATTTATTTATTAAATGGCCGATCGTTTCGCTTGATAAGACCCTTATTCATCGTCTGGTGTCGTTTAAAGCCCTTTGAAGACTCTCATTTGGACCTTGAACCGTTTGGACCCCATTGAAGTCCATTATATGGAGAAAATCCTGGAATGTTTTCATCAAAAACCTTCATTTCTTTTTCGACTGAAGAAAGAAAGACGTGGACATCTTGGATGACATGGGGGCAAGTAAATTATCAGCTAAAGTGTTTTTTAAAGTGAACTACTCCTTTAAGTTTTAAGGTTTACAAAAGCACCGACACAAACACAACTCATTATAATCAGTGATGCTGTCTACACTGAACACGACACATTCCTGATGGTAAACTGGTCTGCAAACAGCCTGAATCCTCAGGGGTCACATGCTCTCAGAAAATTCCCAGCTTACAAGTTGTAATCACGAGTTCGACGAGAACGTGAACGCTTAAAATCTCGTAATTACGACATGCGTTTCATACAGATTGGAGACGCCGTTTTATCGGGACATTTCGAGACTCGCACCTGTAAGGTCGACACTGTGAACGTAGCCAAGTAGTTCGAAACAGAAATCTTTCTTTAGTAGGGCTGGGTAATAAATATCGATTTCTCGATATTAATCGATTCTCATTTTTACGAACCGATATCGATTCTTAAATCTCAAGAATCGATTAGTCATCCTGTTTCATTTGAATGAATGGATCATTGTATCGCGGCTGCGCGCATCCAAAAAAATCGCAATAATCTTTGTCCTTTGTTACTATTGATATGAAACAAAGTCTCAATTTTCAAATTACGTCCATTTTCTTTAGAAATTCAAAAACATAAATAGCGTTTTGTCGCTGTGGCGTGAGATCGCTCTGGAGAAGCAGCAGCGCTGATCTCTCTTCCGGCTTAATAATACCAGTTAAACATGAATGAGCATCTGAAAGTGTGTTAAAGATAGAGGACAACTTATCCAAATCCGTATCATGTCACATTGATTCGCTCAATCAGCGTTTCAACCGTGGAAAGACGTCAGTTAAACAGCTTGTAATCAATGTATCGTCATATTTACCTCAGAAAACCCACATAAACTCGTTAGTCAGCTAGAAAAAATAACTCTAGAGAGGAGCATTTTGCTAAATATATACACCATATTACATATGCATTATAATCTTAACGTTCTTCAATATTTAATGCATATTTGAATAAATCTGGCAAGTTTTTATGACAGCCACCATTTAAATGTTTATATTTCATATAATCTTCTTATTATAAAAATAAATAAAAGTGTAATTTAAGTGTTTGTATAGCTACAAAACAGTTAATTATTACCTTCATATTAGGCTAATGAAGCCTATAGGACTCCCATAGTTTACAGCATTAGTTCAGAGATTTGATTCCCTTGAGAAAATTTGCCATTTATTGTAACTGATATCCAAAATAATCGATACTGAATCGAATCGAAATCGAATCGAATTGTGAAATTTGTGTCAATACCCAGCCCTATTGTTTACAATGTGCATAGTCCACAGTATAACGGAGACCAATGAAGTTATGATAATGCATTATGCTAAACTTTTAATCTAACAAAACACCTTTTCTATCCGCAATAATCCCAATACCATAATTAGATGCCGTCTTTTTGGTGGCTTCGTTGAGTACGGACACATTCAGGATGTGTGTGAAGAAAATGTGCGAGAACAAAAGACACAAACACCTCGTACAGTCAACCCACACTAAAAATTTAATCCCCGTTCGTGAGGCACCAATGCTCCAAACTTCAGCTTTAAAGGTGGGGGTCCGTGGTGACGGGGGTTTTTAATGTAAAAACCGTACGCCAACACGCCAAACGTTTCGTAAAAAGTCATGTCACCTATGACTTACATATTTAGAACACATACACCGAGAGATTTTAATATACTTATATATGTATTTGTTGTTGCTGTCGTTATTGGTCTTTTTCTTTTTTTTTCTTTGTAATTGTTATTATTTTTTATCTAGACCAGCCAGATACAAAACCGATTCTGAGCATACAGTCACATTAGCACAAAACCGGTTTAGAAACAGTCCATCCCGCTGCCAATCGTCCTCGTAGAAAAATCCGCTCCGTTCTTTCCTGAAAGGGCAAACGTTATTTGTATAGATCTATTATTTTTTTTTATTCGGTATTGTCTTATAGACTGGTGCGATACGTATCCGTATTTATATCTCGTGTCTTCTGTGCAAAAGTCTTTGAAAAGTATTGGACATAAACATTCACACTGGATGTTCATCACCGCGTTTTTGGACAAATTCAGTCACTTCCTCGTCTTTCTGCACCCTTGGCATCACATAGTAAACAAAAAGACTAACAAAAGAGACAGACTGCAACATTTCCCTAGTGTTGTGCCCACAGCATTATCCTCCGATGGTCGGTCTGGTAGATAAGGCACCGCTGGGCATGGTAACCGACTCTCTTTAGGACCGCAGGAGGAGGCAGGACAGGGTCAGACTGTGCTCTGAAATACGACACCGCACACGGCTCCGCCCCAAACCCTAGTGAGCCGTCTACATAGGGAGCTTCCTTCTAAAGCAGCGACGTCGCAAGTTAACAACACAGTGGTTCTCAAACGGATAAACAAATATAATCATAAACGGGTAATAAGTGGATTATCAACTTTTAAAGGGAGGAGAATCGTGTAGCCAATATGTCCATTCAAACTCTACAGTGTTTGGTAATGCATGAATAATCATTCTATATATATATATAGTTGCCTAAAATAAGTTACGGAAATAATAAAACTACAGCTGAAATAAAATGATATGAAAAATTGTTCAGAGATATTTAAAACTAATATAAATTACAAAAAAAAACGATCAAATAAAAGTACTATTTCTAATGAAATAAAAAAACAGAATAAAATGATATGAAAAATTGTTCAGAGATATTTAAAACTAATATAAATTATAAAAAAGCGATCGAATAAAAGTACTATTTCTGATTAAATAAAAAAACGGAATAAAATGATATGAAAAATTGTTCAGAGATATTTAAAACTAATATAAATGTTAAAAAAGCGATCAAATAAAAGTACTATTTCTAGTGAAATAAAAAAACGTAATAAAATGATATGAAAAATTGTTCAGAGATATTTAAAACTAATATAAATTACAAAAAAGCGATCAAATAAAAGTACTATTTCTAATGAAATAAAAAAACGGAATAAAATGATATGAAAAATTGTTCAGAGATATTTAAAACTAATATAAATTACAAAAAAGCGATCGAATAAAAGTACTATTTCTGATGAAATAAAAAAACAGAATAAAATGATATGAAAAATTGTTCAGAGATATTTAAAACTAATATAAATTAAAAAAAACAATCAAATAAAAGTACTATTTCTAATGAAATAAAAAAAACGGAATAAAATGATATGAAAAATTGTTCAGAGATATTTAAAACTAATATAAATTACAAAAAAGCGATCGAATAAAAGTACTATTTCTGATGAAATAAAAAACGTAATAAAATGATATGAAAAATTGTTCAGAGATATTTAAAACTAATATAAATTACAAAAAAGCGATCGAATAAAAGTACTATTTCTAATGAAATAAAAAAACTGAAAATATAAAAATGATAACTATAATACCACTATAGTAATTTAAAATCAACTTTTTTTTAGCCTGTTTGCTTATAAACTTCATAAATCATATAAGAATGTGAGTGGACGTACCACTAATAACTACATTTTGAAAAAATATGAGCAATACTGATAATGTAAAGCAAATGCGACCCAGGTGACATTAAATACATTAGTGGTGAATCACTGGTGCGAAGAATTAAAATACAATTTTGTATGATTCAAAATAGATGAAAAACAATTTTTTAATGTAAAACCACTTCAGAACCACTGGAATGATTAATATAAACGAGCTTTCAAAAGTTTGGGGTCTCTACAATTTTATATGCTCACCAAGGCTGCATTTATTTGATCAAAAATTCAGTAAAAATATTTACTATTCAAAATATCTATTTTCTATGTGAATTCTATATTTTTCCTGTGTTCAAAGCTGAATTTTCATCATCATGACTCTAGTCTTCAGTGTCACATGATCCTACAGAAATCACTGTATCTGATGATCAAGAAACATGATTATTATCACTTTATCACAGTATTGTGGAAACTGACGCATGTAATTTTTTAGGTAACACATTAGTTGGACAATACTTCTTCAATGTTTGAATCTTAAAATCTTGTTAACATTAGTTAACGCATTGTGAACTACCATGAACAGCTGGATACAATACATTAACCAATGTTTAATAAATGAACCTTATTGTAAAGCGCTACCATTTTTGTACGATTCTTTGATTAAAAGCAAGTTCAAAGTAACGAATTTATTGGCAAATGATAAAAAATGTCTTTACTGTAACTTTTGAGCAATTTAACGCATCCTGTAAGTCAGTTTTGCGGACGGATGGACGGCTCACTAGGTTTCGGAGCAGTGTCGCGTATCGCACGTGTGTTACAGCAACAACGTCAAAACGTAAAACATGTGTGTGCACGTGCCGTTAATGTTTCTCTCAGTGTGTCACACCGTACTCTCCAACATCCACTCTGTGCTGCTGAACGTGACCCTGCGACTGCAGGGCGGCGACGCGTCAGTGTTCAGGTGAGTGGTGGACTTGTGCCGCCGGGTTCGAGCCCGGCGCGGGTAACTGTGGCTCTGGAACAGAGCATAGTCTCCGTCGAAGGAGAAGCGGTGCCGAGTCCGGGCCAGCTCGCTGGGTAGGAGTCCCATGTTGGCTAGCGGGCCCTTCCGCGGGGGTTCGGCCGGGCCCGGGCCGGATCCGGGCCCGATCAGACACAGGGACATGGTGGACCCCGTGAGGCTGCTGTCCGTGTGCGTGTCGTCCGAGGGCGGCCCGCACACACTCGCCCGTCGGGACGCCGGCGCCGCTTTCTCCGAGCACATCGGCGGGAGGTCCACCTTCAGCTCCTCCTGAGTCTCGTCCATCTTCAGGAGAACCAGCGCCTTGCAGTCCTTCCCGCCGGGAGACTCGGGACACTCCTCGCTGCGATGCTTCGCCCCGGACCGCGCCGGTCTGCTCCCGTTCGTCTGCGAGTGCATGCTCACACTCGTGTCTGGCTGCGCTTTGGCCTTGGCCCCGTCGGTGCCGCTGTACGCCTTATATCGGATCATGAGGATGATGATGAAGACGAGCACGGACGCCACGATGATGCCGCCGATGATGATGATCATGGTCCCGCCGAGGAACTGACTGGGGACGAAGCGACAGTGACCCGCCTCCGCCGCCGTGTGGAACTGAACACACCCCACCACGCGCGTGGCCGTCAGAGACGTGATGCCGTCGTCGTACACCGCCAACACACACAGCTCGTACTCTCGACCCGCCGCCAGATCGTTGATCTTGAACGTCTTACTCGCCGAGGGAATCATCCTGCACAGAGAACACCAGAGAGAGTCGTTCAGACACGTCCACCGAAGCTACAAACACGAATAATTTTACAATAACCTTAATCCTTATATATATATATATATATATTTTTTATAAATTAGCCAAATGAACTAATAAACATATACAGCATTTTCTAAATACATAAAAAGTGACTTCAATATATAAAACTTACTAAAAATAAAATTCAAATAAAACTGAAAATATAAAAATAAGCTAATTCAAATGATTAATTATTATTAAAAAAACATAAATATTAGATGAAAATGTAAATCAAAACTTTGAAAAGTTGCCTTTTCCACTTGCTTAGAAATAAACTGAAATGAAAATGAAAAGTGTGTGTGTTTGTGTGAGTATATGAGTATGTGAGTATCAAATAAGTAATAATTATCGACAGATTACTTGATTAATCAGCAAAATACAAGCGACTGATCACTTGATAATCAGCAAGTTAACCGGCGACTGATTGCTCAATTAATCGGCAAGATAATTGGTTAATTACTCAACAAATCGACAAAAACGTCATATTACCCGACAAAGTGGGAAAAAACTATCAACTGATAACCCGATTAATCTGTAAAATAATCGGCTGGTTACTCGACTAATCATCAAAATAATACTGATTGCTTGATCAACCCAAAAATCAATCACTCGATTAATCTGCTAATAACTAGCAGATCAGTTGATAAATCAGCAAAATAACAGTCTGACTACTTGATTGATCAGAAGAAAAAAAGACGGATCACTCGATAAATCGGCAAGATAATCGCCTGGTTACTCGGCTAATCGTCAAAATAACAGTGACTGCTTGATCAACAAAAACCAATCACTCGATTAATCTGCAAATAACCGATAGATCACTTGTTTAATCATCAAAGTAACAGTCTGACCACTTGATTAATCAGAAAAAAAAGACTGATCACTCAAATAATCGACAAGATAATCGGCTGGGTACTAATCAATCACTCGATTAATCTGCAAATAACAGACAGATCACTTGTTTAATCAAAGTAACAGTCTGACCACTTGATTAATCAGAAAAAAAGACTGATCACTCAAATAATCGACAAGATAATCGGCTGGATACTAATCAATCACTCGATTAATCTGCAAATAACCGACAGATCACTTGTTTAATCATCAAAATAACAGTCTATTTGATTAATCAGAAAAAAAGACTGATCACTCGAGTAATCGACAAGATAATCGGCTGGGTACTAATCAATCACTAGATTAATCTGCAAATAACCGACAGATCACTTGTTTAATCATCAAAATAACAGTCTGACTATTTGACCACAGAAAAAAAGACTGATCACTCGAGTAATCGACAAGATAATCGGCTGGGTACTAATCAATCACTCGATTAATCTGCAAATAACCGACAGATCACTTGTTTAATCATCAAAATAACAGTCTATTTGATTAATCAGAAAAAAAGACTGATCACTCGAGTAATCGACAAGATTATCGGCTGGGTACTAATCAATCACTAGATTAATCTGCAAATAACCGACAGATCACTTGTTTAATCATCAAAATAACAGTCTGACTATTTGACCACAGAAAAAAAGACTGATCACTCGAGTAATCGACAAGATAATCGGCTGGGTACTAATCAATCACTCGATTAATCTGCAAATAACCGACAGATCACTTGTTTAATCATCAAAATAACAGTCTGACTATTTGACCACAGAAAAAAAAGACTGATCACTCGAGTAATCGACAAGATAATCGGCTGGGTACTAATCAATCACTCGATTAATCTGCAAATAACCGACAGATCACTTGTTTAATCATCAAAATAACAGTCTGACTATTTGATTAATCAGAAAAAAAGACTGATCACTCGAGTAATCGACAAGATAATCGGCTGGGTACTAATCAATCACTCGATTAATCTGCAAATAACCGACAGATCACTTGTTTAATCATCAAAATAACAGTCTGACTATTTGATTAATCAGAAAAAAGACTGATCACTCGAGTAATCGACAAGATAATCGGCTGGGTACTAATCAATCACTCGATTAATCTGCAAATAACCGACAGATCACTTGGTAAATCAGCAAATTAACAGTCTGACTACTTGATTAATCAGACTTCCTAATACTTCATTAGGAAGAGAGAGGGAGAGAGAGATATAGTACTTTTTGGTGTGCAAAACAAAGATCTCATTAATCAAACATGAGCAGAATGAATTTCTGTGTGAATCATTCATTAAACCATTATTTTGTCAATTGGATTTACAAATGATTTCCACAGAAATGGCTTGAAGAATGACACCCAATCTTACAAACAGCAATAACAGTAGAGCGCTAATCGCCCATCACTGCAATACTGTCACACCGCTGACAAACACAGTTAGTTACAACTTACAGTCAGCTCAACTGAAAGAGCGCATGCATGAGTCAGGCTTTATATATTAAAAATGTTTTCCAGTTCATTATTCGACGTGTGAAAATGAACTTGCGTCGTGAGCTCTTTGTCTTTCATGATGTGTGCTAGTGTTCCTCTCGGTTCGGGATCAGAGTCGGGGCGAGACTTTAACAGCAAGCTCCAAATGAAATGTCTAGTTGGATTTAAACCTCCCTTCACCTCAGATCCCAGCAGGCCGTGCGTCTGAGCTGCTCTCTGATTGGCCGCTCTGAAACGAGACTGATAATGCATGAAATGGTCGTGGGGTCAAAGCGCTCTGTCATCACTAGTGATATGCTTTCAGCCTCAGGTCAGAGGTTAAGAGCTGGAGAAGATGAGATGGACATTTATTGATAGAGACCTCACTGCGCGACAGAGCGAGAAGGACAGAGGAGTTATGGGTGTGAGAAACTGACTAGCGCTCACCTCACCAACAGACTCACGTTCATATTCCTGTTTAGAAGGTCAAATTAGCATTTAGTTCTCAAGTGGTTTTACTTCAGAACCAAACATAGTACCAACATTATTGTTCAAAAATCAAAAATTTGCGCACATTAATGCTAAAACGAATATTAATTATTATTAATGTCAATATAGTCCTAGTACACTCTAATATGTGTTATTTTCACTGCTTCGATTGCTCTCATTTGTAAGTCGATTCGGATAAAAGCGTCTGCTAAATGAATAAATGCAATGTAAATGTACAATATTTTCATTTAAAAATGCAAACTTAGCGTTTTTAACAACACACTTCCAAGTGGATGCATTTAAAACAGCATTTTCACCAGTGTTGGGAGTAACGCATTACAAAAGTAATACATTACAGTAACATATTACTTTTTGCTGTAACGCAGTAGTGTAAGGCATTACTAATCAATTTTCAGTAATATTTTACTCGTTACATGTTCAATGAGGCTTGTATTACAGTTGTATTACAGTGTATTGTCTGCTTTTACTTCTTAAAGGCAACAGACTATGTGAAAGTTTTAAAGCAGTCTTTTAGTGCCGGTTCAGAGCGGTCGCGTCTGTAACATAGTTTTTTCCTCATAAATGCGAACACGAAAACTAAAATAAAATGAATATTTTAAGTTCTATGGAGACTGGAGAGCCAACCCTTCCTCATCCGATTTGCGCAGTGTAATTAACAGAATTACAAAAAATATATTTTGCCTCCTATTTTTTTTGTCACGCATGAATGTGTGTCTTTTCCCTAATATTAAAAATAAAACATAGACTGATATTTGTCTAATGTCTGGAGTCCTTTGAGGAAGTAGCCTATATACGTTTCAATACATGTATTTTCGGAGAATTTTTAATTCAAGTTTTGACTGCAAATGTCATGTCCATAATGCTCCTTAACTAGTTTTGTGGTGTAGGTCTACGTATTTTATAATGTTAACTTCAAATAATACTAATAGCCTAATTTAAAGATAAGGCAGCATTGGATATGGACGGTAAGGAGAATAACGCTGGGAGTTGGAAGAGGCGTGTCGCGATTTTGTTCGTGGATCTGAGTCGTGTGGCGAATCGCGATTTCGGTTTCATATTGCATATCGTTACAGCCCCAAAGTTGTTCTACTTAGTTATTTTGGTAAAAGTAACTCAAAAGTAATACATGAGTAATGTAACGCATTACAATTCTGAGACAGTAATATTGTAAGGTAATGAATTACTTTTAAATAACAGTAACAAGTAATACCTAATGTATTACAGTTTGGAAGTAACTTGCACAACACTGATTTTCACGTTGTAGTGTGACAACTAGTGTAGCGCAAACAACTACATTCTTGCCTAATAAACTCCTAAAACTAAATTCAGCGGCATAATAAACAGTAGTATTTGTAAAATTATGGTAGGTTTGCTCCTCCATCATTGACGCTCACTGTGAGAAATGCTGCTAGTATAGATCTGGCAGAAACAAGCGGAGAGAAACACATTTGGAAACAGTTTCTGTGTGATAATAGTAGAATATTACATCCGTACAATAAAAGGCTCTCAGAAAATCAGATTTGAAAACTAGAACACACTGTTTTGTGTGTTCATATATATGCATAGTGTTAATAATATTGATATTATTATACATTTTTATTGAAATAATAATAACAACAATAACCCATGTTTACTTGATTGGACACAACCTTTCACATTTTTATTATTTGCATTTTTAGAGTGTTTTCCCTGCTGATTGAATCAGAACGGACCAGAAACTCTTTTTTTTTAATCTATATTCACTAGCTGCCCGTTGATAACCACTGATTTAGCTAAAGTGCCACGCTGCTCTCTCTCTCTCGTTCTGTGCAAACATCCGCTTGTCTTTTTCTCAAGGTTTACCGACTGTAGTAATGTCCTCCTACATAGAGCCTCAGTAAACAAATGTCCCTGCTGCCTCATACCCTGCTAATATTGAGCTTCTCCTGATAAATATGTGCTCTAACAGGTGTCTCCTCGTTCTGCTGACATTTATTTAGCATGTCCACCCCGGCTAACCGCCGAAATTAACCGACCATTTCCAGATCAGTCTGCAGGCAACAATTATGGACATTTTTCTATTAATTTTCTCTATT